CTCTCACTCTCTCTCTCTCTCTCGCTGCCTTCTCCGCTTCCGGCATGCACCTCATTGAACAGGGAGCACGAGCATGTCATCAGAACACGGCGCGTCGAAAGAAGTCACTTCAGACCCTTTGTTGAAGAAGAGGTTGTGCCGGACTTGAGTGTTAGTTGCTTACAATCTAGCCCTCTTTTGAGCGGATTTTTGATGTTAGAGGCCTCTTTGTTCACAGGCGTTCCTCTCGAAGCAGGTGTTTGAAGCCTTCTCCGATACTCGCTGTGGCGCTGTAGCCACAACGGGGCGGCCGTAAGAAAAGCAGGCTAGAGACGGAAGCGATGTACAAGACATTACAAGACATAAACAGCCCAGCGCAAACGTCTCCTTATTGAAGTGGCCGCTACCGCTTTGATGCTACAGGGCCGAAGCCAGCCCATGCAAATGCTTTTTTTTGCAGCAGCTTTCCTCTTTCAGTTTGAACTCGTCCGATTCGTTCTGACAGCCTCGTGGTTGACCTTCGATAATGTCGCGAGATCTGCGGCACCGTTTCTCACTTCGTGATGTGCACGCGTCTGCGCACTTGCCTTGAGCCTTTTTCCTGCTGTGCCGAGGTGCCGACGGGAACCTTCCCAAGGTGAAGCAGCTGCTGGCGGAGTGGGCGGATCCGAACACGCCAAATACCGCGAAGGACGGACATCCGCCACTGCACGCGGTGCTGCTGCGACCGCAAGGCCTCCAGCCCGTCCACCTCGACATCGTGAGAGCTCTGGTGGACATGGATGCCGACCTGACCCTCACCACCACGATGCCAGCTGGAGAATCCCGCCGCACCTTCACCCTGGTGCACAGCGCGCTCCACTCGAAGAGTGGCCAGGCGCTGAAGATTCTGGCGGCTGCCGGTCTTGAGCACGATGGGAAGCCGCTCAGCCAGGTGCTGGAGGCAGAGGCCCTGCGAAGCGAGGAGCAGGAAGAATCGATCTGGTCGCTGCTGGGACCCCTCAAGGAGGAGCGGGTGCGCCTGCTGGACGCGTCCCTGGTGACCGTGGGGGAGATGTTGGCGCTGGGGGCCACTCCTGGTCAGGTCAAGGCCTTGCACCACAAAGCAGGGCTGGAGACGCCGGAGAAGTTGCTCCAGCAGGTGGTGTTGAAGGGCCTGGGGCCCAAGGAACTGGGAGAGAAGCTCCGAGCGGATCCCGACTTTCTCACACCCACACTCCCCTGGCCACCCTTCGATGCCGTGAGAGAGGCACTGCAAGAGGCCAGGGAGGGTATAGTGTCGATCCCTCAGCTGTGATTGTCCGCTGCCCAGAGCCAGGCCCCAGCGGATCTTCGGAAGGACCGCGACGTGGTCCTGGCCTGCATCAGCCACGATGCCGCCTGCGTGGCCGATGCGCCAGAGGCGGCTGAAAGTGCTGCTGTACTGTTGTGGCACGATTTTTGAGAAGGGCGGAGGGCTGGAGGCCGAAAGCCCTATGCAATTAATACAGGGCATCACGGTTTCTTCGCATTTTGAGAAGGGCTGAGGGCTTCTCTGTAAAGCCTGGTGCAGGACCTGCGCTCGGAGCGATGCTTCCTGCTGGATGCAGTGCAGCGGCATCCACGAGCCCTCGAGTTCGCCGGGGGCTTTCGGGAGGACGCAGAGTAGGAAGCGATCTGAAGTGATTGAGAAGCGATCTGTAATCCTGTTTCATTTTTTCTTTCAGGCCTGCAGCTTTGCACCTCAACTCGAGAGCTCGAAGTCTTCCGACAAGAGCACACACCCTTCAAATCTCGCAGAGCGAAAGCGCCACAATTCGAACTCAGGCAAAAGCCGAAGAGCGACAGACCCTGCTTTGGTTCGTGGCACCATCCAGGAGGTTTCTGGCACATGAGACCACTAAAGCTCGCGAGGACCGCGACTTCGTCGCGGACGCAATGCGGCTCCAACCGGCCGTGCTTGGGAATATCTGTGCAGGGTGATGCAAGTTTTTCGCAGGGGCAGCTAGAGGTGTAGTTTTGGGGAAGTTGTGGGCAACCATGACGACCAGGCGCAAGCTCTGGGAGGCCGTGTTAAGGGGTTGTGGTTCGGCTGGATGTGTTGCAGACATTGGTACGGAAGGCCCCTCCCTGATGGGCACCCGGTCCCTTAGGTAGGTAAGATTTCGATCTATTTGGCCCCTCGGAAGCTGAGGTGCTGGAGTTCGCTGGCGGCCTGCGCAGCGACCGGCAGCTTGCCTTCGAGGCACGGATTGATGCTGCGGGCTGCTGGGCACCGCTGGGGTTCAGGGAAGCCAACTGCACATGGTACGGGTAGGTTTCTTGCGAGGTGGCTTGGTATTGTGAGATGTCGCTGTGTAGGTGGCTGGAGCTAGAGCGCCTGCAATTTCTGCATCGCAGGCTGTGCAGCACGCACCTTGGGTGCTGGACTTGCTTGATGCCCAACTCCAACACGACCCGGTGCTGGCCTTCCGCGCCGCGCAGGCGCGGCGCAGCGAAGGAGGGGAAATCAGGCTTTTGGGACTCAGGTCGGATTTTGCCGATGTGCTGGGAACATAGTCCGAAGGCTCAGTTTGCAACGCCGGCTTCCGAGGCCTTGCCACGATGCGGCACTCGAGACGTGGACTTTGCTCAGATGTCCGAGCTGCGCATCGTCCAGCACGGCTCGAAGGTGTGCTGCGCCTGCACCACGGGAGCGAACCGCGTGGCGGTGGGCTGCAAGGACGGCAGCATCCTTCTCCACGACCTCAGCTGCACTGACGACGAGCCTGCCTCGAAGCTGCTTGGGCACCAGTTTGCTGTGTCCAGCCTGTGTCTGCTGTCCGAGCATGTCCTGGCCAGCGGATCGTATGACAGGACGGTCCGGAGTTGGAATCTGCGCACCAAGGAGGTGCTCCAGGTGCTCAGAGGACACACGCATCCTATGCAGGGCCTGGCGCGGCTCAGTGACACTCAGCTCGCGAGCGCAAGCGCTGACAATACCATCCGCTTGTGGAACCTCGCGGAGCCAGAAGAAGACGGCCGAGTGCTAGAGGGCCACAGCAACACAGTGTTCTGCCTGTGCCGCACCACCGCCGGGAGCCTGGTGAGCGAGAGCGAGGACCGGACCCTCCGGGTCTGGGACCTTGACACCGGCGAGGAGCTCCAGCAGGAGCTGCGTGGCCACACAGGTGGTGTCAACTGCCTCGTCCAGGCCTCTGCAGGGCTCCTGGCGAGTGGCAGCAGCGACAACACCGTGCGCCTCTGGGACCTCACCAGCTGGACGACCGTGCGGGTCCTCAAAGGCCTCAGCAGTGTTGAGTCGCTGTGCCTGTTGGCACCCAACCACCTTGCAGCTGCCGATACGGATGGCGGACTCCGTGTCTGGTGTGTTGACAGCGCCGAGCCCGTGCACGACGTCAAGATTGCCCACAGCGAATCGATCCGAGCCTTGACGGTGACGAAGGTGCGGGGCGAGCACGTGCTGTGCAGCGGCAGCGAGGACTCGGCCCTGAAGCTCTGGCAGCTGCAGGCCCGGGGCAGGGGGCCTGGGGGTTCTTTCCGCTGTTCAGCGTGTTTGCTGAACTGATGCCCGTCTCAACGCTATGTCGTCTGTAGGCAAGCCCAACATAGAAACCAGGTTCGCACATGTTGCAGTTCCAGCTTGGAGTTTTGCCACCTGTTATCGATTGAAGACGACAAAAAACATTTTCATCGAAGTCCCGTGCCGTTCAAGGTGGCAGAGTTGATGTTTCCGTTTTGAGGCCACCCAAACCAGTAGCCAGACACTTTGAGGTTAACTTGGGCTTTCCGATTCTGGCCCATGTGCGAAAACAGCTGCAACGAAGGTCATCAGTAGGTGACTCTGTAGAAGGTGTTGCAGTTCCTGGGGAGGAGTCCAACTCGGATGAATTATGGCTAACAGAGAGCACTGTTTAGCAACCTTTTGAACAGAGATGCAGTGCGACAAGAGACGGGATTGCCCGGTGTTGATGGGAAGGCATTGCAGCTATGTCGAGGCTGGGCTGTGGTGGAGTCAGATACACCTCTTCGAACCCAGCCTCAACCCTTGAAGTCCGGGCATGCGTCCCATAGACTCTTGACAGCATGTCCCTAACCACGAAACTGGGTCTCGACGAAGGTGTAGAGTGCTGCACGGGGCCAAAGCAGCTTCGGCCAGGAAAGTGAAGCCAGACCCTGAGCACCCTTCCTGCTCACAGGCGTGGGGCATCCGCGGCTTCTCGAAGGATCCCAGCGAGCTGCGCAGCATATCGCACGACTCGAATGTGGCCTGCGTCTGCGCCACGGGAGCGAACTTCATGGCGGTGGGCTGCACGGACGGCAGCATCCGGCTCCACGACCTCAGCTGCACTGACGACGAGCCTGCCTCGAAGCTGCTCGGGCACCAGAAGTCTGTGCGCTGCCTGTGTCTGCTGTCCGAGCATGTCCTGGCGAGCGGGTCCGAGGACGAGACTGTCCGGACGTGGAACCTGCGCAGCAAGGAGGCCCTGCAGGTGCTCAGCGGGCACAGTCACTATGTGTGGGGCCTGGCGCGCCTCAGTGACACTCAGCTCGCGAGCGCAGGTAGTGACAAGACCATCCGCTTGTGGAGCCTCTCGGAGCCAGAAGCCCGCCGAGTGCTTCGGGGCCACGCCGGCTTTGTGAGCTGCCTGTGCCGCACCACCGCCGGGAGCCTGGTGAGCGGGAGCAGCGATGCGACCCTCCGCGTCTGGGACTCGGACACCGGCGCGGAGCTCCAGGAGATGCGTGGCCACACAGATGTTGTCATCTGCCTCTGCGAGGCCTCTGCTGAGCTCCTGGCCAGTGGCAGTGTCGACAACACCGTGCGCCTCTGGGACCTCACCAGCTGGACGACCGTGCGGGTCCTGGAAGGCTTTGAGGTCAGTGTTTACTCGCTGTGCCTGCTGGCACCCAACCACGTTGCAGCTGGCGACAAGGACGGCAGACTCATCGTCTGGGCAGTGCAGAGCGGCGAGAAGGTCCACGATGTCAAACGCGCCCACAGAGCAAGGATCTATGCCCTGACGGTGACGAAGGTGCGGGGCGAGCACGTGCTGTGCAGCGGCAGCGAGGACTTGACCCTGAAGCTCTGGCAGCTGCAGGCGGGGGGAAAGGGATGAGATCAGAGGAGATGAGCTGAAGCCAAGCTCCTGTGACCCGACCCCCGGGCTCCCTCCCCGGCACGGTCCGATGCGTAACTCGCGCTTTGGTCTCGAGGCACGGCCCTGAGCCGGACGGCTGGGGCGGAGGCAGGGCTTCCTCTCTCGACGGAGATGTGTCGGTGTCTTTTAGAGCTTCGGTCGGTTGAAAGGCGTTTTTTCGGTGAGCTCAGGCTTGGGAAGCGTTGCGGGAGTTGTAGCTTCAAGGAAGCAGACGGTCTGTATGACAGGAGCCTCGTTGCACTTCCTGTGAGACTTCGGGGCTTGTGAGCTTATGTCAGTGAGAGCCTCAACCCAGCAGCCGAGCTATCTTCAGGGAGGCGGCTCCCCCGCCGGAAACCCTGTTGAAAGCCTTTATATCCTTGTTCGCGATGTCTTCTGGAGATTTTCATAGAGCTCGATTCTCAAAGCTCCTAAATCGAAGCACTGGATTCAATGCAGGCTCCATCCGTCATCACCTATGTTTCACTGCCCGCCATCATGTGAGACGCGCAAGGCCGTGTCCCGGGCCACCATGGCGGCCGCATCAACTATCAGATCCCGTAGAGCTATTGCCTAGCTGCACGTCTGCTTCCCAAAAAAGGGAGGCAGCACGTAGCCGCGTGTAGCGCGCGGAGTCCACATCTCTCCCCGTGTTCCTTTCATGAGCTTCTGACCGACTCTGGGAGCTAGTGTTAAAGGTTCCTCTGACCTTGCAACGCCTGAGCTTAACAGCGTGCAGGAAGGAAGAGCTTGGATTTCCAAGCCTGGAGTCGTTGAGGTTCCCAGCGAACTCACATGGGCATCCGTGGGCCAAGGGGCTCCATCTCAACAGTAGCAGTAGCAGTCACGACCGTCGCATCCGATGAGATCTGACGTAGTCTTGCAGATCTGCTCAGAAAGGCAGCAGGAGAGCGGAGTTGAAGATGTGAGTGTAAGAGGTTTGGTACGTGCAGTGTCCGCGGAACCTCTCAGACCCTCAGACTTAGGAACTGAACGAAGTAGCAGACTGCAAGATCTTCGTCTTTGCATTTCTGTGGAGGGGGGGTCTTTGGGAACCCGGAGTCTCATGCCTTCGGTTCCGAAAATTCGAAGCTACTAGCAAAGTTATCTGCCAGACCCTCCTCTTCGAATTTGAGGCTGCCGAAATCTCAGGGCAAAATCCCGTGGGCCAAAGAGTTCCGATTCAGTATCAACCACGACTGTCGCGTCAGATCCGATAGCGCTTGCATCTACTTGCATCTGAAGGGAGGCAGCAAGCGCAAGACGCCTCCTCTGCCTGAACCAGATATAGACTGTCAACCAAACCCAGCACCCGGCGAAACGGAGAACTGCAAGATCTCTCGGGGGAGTCGCATGCGCTCACTCCCAAAGTAGAGGTCTGGCTTGGCTTTACACCTTTTTCACCGAAGCTTCCTGCAAGTGCCTTGCAAGATCCAAAGTCAAGCTTCCGACATCTCGCGGCAGGATGACAATCATTTGGGCCAACGAGCTCCGCATGCTGTCACGAAGAGCGGGTTCTCCACCCGGAGTGGACGGACCGGACCCTTTGCTAATGGAAATGCGAGCTACAGAGCGCACCTTCGGTTCTTGAAGTCGTAGCTGACACGAGCCTGCAGGTTCACACGGGTTTGACAGGTTTGACGAAGAGCCCCCCCGCATTCGCCTTGCCATCAGCATGCGCTGTGACGGACGTTCAACCTGAACTTTGCAGCTGTGCCGGTTGAGACCTTGACCTTTTACAGAAACGGAGCTGCAACTGACGTGCGCATATGCTTTCATCAACCTCAGAAGGTTTTCGCATGTTGTCGGTTTTCGGGGCTACGGCCAGCACTGGCCACCATGGGTCTCCCGTGTGGTTGCTTCATGGAGCGGACTGCGGACATCAGGCTGCCCAGCGCAGTGTGTGCTTTGTGGCAGGAAGCTCCTGCCACCGGCTTTGCTGGTTTGTGTGGCTTTTTTGGAGTGCAAAGACTATATAAGTCTATACAATACTGCAAACAAAGAGCAGCGTTTCCTCGTCACACAAGAGTAGAACTTCGCACCTTGCAAGAGCCTTTTTTGGATCCCCTGCATTTTGCATCCCGAAGCCCTGAACTGGGTTCTTGTTAAGGGGTTTTATTTAAGTTACCACAAGGGGGATTTATTGTAAATCATGTGGTTTCCCTTATTATGGTAACGTAAATTAAATCCCCCAACAGGAGCCCAGTGAAGCTGTAAATTCCTTGCCAGCTGCCCCATCAAACTCCGGTGCAACGAGGCGGCCCGAGCGGCGGTCGGCTGGATCGGATCGGAGTGGAAGCTGCTTGGATCCACAGAAGAAAAGCCGGAGAATCAGCGACCATGCAGTTTATAAGGTGTATCGGGTTTAGGGCTTTGGGTCTTTCAGGTTTTAGGGGCTCCTTTGGCTGAGGTCAGCTGGGCTCCCATGCGATTGAAGCACCGTTAAGACCCCGCAGCTGTCTCTCGTAGTTGCTCTGTGCGTTTCAACGTGTCGCCGCTTTCTGAAGATGATGGAAGTGCTCAGTGTTTCTGAATGACGGTTATGCACCGAAGGCTCTTCGCCCGAGCATCGGGAGCCATCCTGAGGGTCGATGAAATGCTCCTGGGCTTGTGATGGTTCGGGAGGAGCCCCGCAACCCTGCCCCATTTCAAGGTAAATTGAAATTTAGGGTGTCCAGCGACAGCTTCTCTCGCCTTCAAGCCTTCCCAGCGTTGAGAGGGGTCTGGGACACAGGGCACAGTTATTTCATGTGTGTCCTTGGTGGCTTCAGGTTACAAGCTCCGATGAAGCCCGGGATCCCGAAGCTCTGGCACAAAAAGCCCGGGACCCAAAGCTGCAAGGGCGCTGAGATGCTCTGTGTCTGTCGGGGGCCTGGAAACCAGGGCTTCCCTTCGGCCTTTGTTGGGGAAGTGTTCGCTTGAGAACTTCGGGCCTCCCTTCTGCATGAAGTTGGCTGTCGTTTGAGAGGCTTCTCCAGGCAGCTTGAAGCCGGAGGAGGGGTGGGTCGAGCGGGCTCCGATGACGCATCTCTCCCTTTTCTTTTGACTGTAATTTTTCTGTGCTGCAGCTTCGCGTTGAGTCCGAGAACGCCGGGAGGGAGCCGTCGGAAGCCTCCGAGGTTAGCAGCTCCGGGCCTCTCTGCGACTCCGCTGCTGCCCGAACCCCCCGGCGCTGCTCCCAAGCATCCGCGCGCCAAGGAGGCGATCCGAAGGGGTTGGATGATTCGGAGTTTCTCGCATTCAAGGGCAGTTTTTCGGTTTAGACGGTTTGGAGTCTCATGCTCTCACTCCCGACATCATCGTCGTGAGAGGACGCTCGATCTTTTGTTGAGGCTGCCTGACATCCCACGGCAAACTCTCGTGTGCATCCGTGAGCTCCATCTCATTCGTATCAGTCGCGGCTGGTCGCATCCAGAGCTATTGCATATCTGCTACAAAAGGGACAGCAGGCGCAACACGGCTCCTTGCTGCGAGAGAGTACTACGGTGGAGGGTGTAGTTAAGGTCTAGGGTTTATAGGCCGTTCCTAGACTAGCTCCTGTCTCTGCTTGTCTGACGTGCTCCTTGTAAGAGCTCCGCAAGAAGACGTGCTCTCGGGGTCTCTGGCGTTCAGGATCCCCAGTGGCCGCGTTACCTGTTTATCTGATGGCTTACATAGTAGGCTCTCGCTGCAATGTAGGGGTTTCATGGCAACAGCACAATTCTTTCCCGCTGGCCTGCGGCTGCGACACAAGTTCACTTCCTGCGCGTATTTTCGTCGTAACCGACATGAGAGCAAGCGCATGTTGACAGGTGTCCGAAAGGATTGCATCCAACCGGTATCGCATCCCGCATGAAGCGTGCAACGGATGCTTGCTCGAATCAACTCTGCAGCTTTCCTGGCTGGCGCTCGTAGTTTCTTACAGGCACGGCACCATGATGTGATCTACTGTAGACAGAGCATGCAAGCTTCATCATTGCATCATCGCAAGGTTCCACCCTGTTTAGCAATTCGCCGGCCTTCGTTGAGATTCCGCACGGAGCCAGAGCTCTCCCCAAACCCTCTCGCCGTCGCTCTCGGTGCCCCTGTGTCCACGGAGGCTCTTCGCGCATCGGGGACGGATGAAATGCTCCTGGGCCTGTAATAGGCTGGAAGCGCTGACGGCTGAAGTGGGAAGACCCCGAGATGGAGCCCAAACCCTAAATCCTGAACCCTAAACCCTGAACCCAAAACCCTAAACCCTAAACCCTGAACCTCAAACCCTAAGGCCCTGAACCCTAAACCCTGAACCCTAAAGCCTCAACCCTAAACCCTTGAACCCTAAACCCCCGTGTAGGGTCCTTATTAGGCGGCGCCGGGGAAGTCTCCGGAAGCTTGAGGTTCGAGAGCCCCAGGAGACCTGAGACAAAGCCGGGCCCAAGGTTCAGGGCTTTGAGGGGCTTGTTTATAGGGTTTATGTTTATATATATATATACATACATATATGTAGATAGGGTTTATAGGGTTTATAAGGTTTAGAGGGTTTAGAGGGTTTAGGGTTGAGGACGAAGCTTGTTGGGGAAGTGCAGCATGAGAGCGATCTTTCCGGAGCCAAGTTTGCGGAAAGTTGGCTGCCATTTGCCCCAGCGTTTTCTGCTGTGCGTAGCAGGGGCTCCCATGCATCCCCCCGCCTCCGTTAAGTAGACTTCTGCCATCCTCTGCATCGCCGTGAGTCCGAGACGGAAGGGGCCCGTTGGAAGCCTCCAATCTAAGCCGAGGTCTGATTTGCAGCTCTGGGCCTTCGTGGCTTTGAGGGCTTTGAGCCTCTGAGCCCCGGCTGCCTTCGAACACCCACGAGCGGGGGAGGCGATCCTCAGCGGTTTGGGGGTTGGAGTTTGCTGCAGTTAAAGAAGCGATGCTGAGATATGCTAAGTACAGTTTGAGCGGCACCGCTGACCGCTAAACTTCAGCCCGGAAAGTGTTAGCAACATCAAGAGCTTCTGCAGCTGTCAGCTATCTTTGCGCAGACGTGGTCAAGCTTTTGTTGGAGTTGCAGCTTATTTGAGAGCGAATGTCATTGCCTTTCATCAAAATTACAGACAACAATCTGGGTGAACTGCTCAGGTCAGCCTGAAATGAAGGGCCAGACTACGAAGAAACATAAACAACGGGACCGTCTGTTGAAAATAAATGTTGTTGTCTAATGAGTCTAATGCGACATTCTACAGTCCTCCACCCCAGACAACTTCAATCTCGGCTGTCTGTGCCCAGGTGCTGACGCGCCGCCAGGTAAGCAACTTTCGGCCGCAGGCCAAGCCAGCATGTTCAAAGTGCAGCGGCGTCTTGAGGATGTAGTGAAGTGCAACAGAATGTGCGATCATCTTCTGTAGTTGTGCCGTCTCTTCCACGGTACAAGTGAAAGGTGGTTTAAGGCACTGCCAACACCACCGAGGAAGACCGTCATTCTCAGCACCACTCAGCATGATTGATCGCTCTAGCCAATTTTTAACCTTCCCCTGTGTGCGCTCATCTATGCTGTTCTCCTTCTGAAGCCATCTGGCTCTGGCCAGCCCGGGTGGATACCAAAGGCGTCGTTCTGGAGCGGGACTCGCCATGGCAAGGGCTTTGCTCGTTTTGCTCTGGGCTCTGAGGGCTCTGCCTGTCCGGGCAAAGCGTCCCAACATCCTCTTCCTCATGACCGACAGCATGGCCGCGTGCCGGATCCCGAAGCGGTTCAATCCCAGGCCGTTGAGCTGCCCTTCCTCCGGGACTCTCTACTGCTCTTGGGAAGTATATGTTTTATGTCTCTTATAACATAACTCCAGGGCATTTAAGAAGAGTCTTATTTTTAAGGGCGGCGAAGGACTTCTTCGTCAAGCAGGGCACGAACTTCGTGCGCAGCTACGCGAACAGCCCGCAGTGCGTCCCGTCGCGCAGCAGCATGTGCACCGGGCGGCGCACGGACCAGATAGAAGCCCGGTCCAATGAGAAAGGCCTTGCTGCATCGGAAGACGGGACACTGGATAAGACTTGCATCTATACTTCTATGGCACCAGTGCGCTGCCTGGGCGAAGATGCAGAACTATTCCGAGACCATTTTCTCGGGCCTACGGAGACTAGGCGCAGACTCTGTGGGAGGGGTTTTTGAGAGGTAGAGCACATGGGCTTAGGTGCGCGCTAGAGCTCCTCTTCTTTCTTTCTACGTACATTCGAAGGTGTCGTGTGCACTTGCTACAGCCCCCTATGCTCACACATGTTTCTCTCAGGAGGCTGCCCCCAGAAGCCCCCAAACCTCTGCTTGCTATAGGTTTGTGGGTTGCGGTTTCCCTTTCTGCGACGCCTGAGAAGCGTGTGAGCTTGCGGGTACGGCTCAGCTTCTGCCTCTGCTCTGGGATTTTGATTCATTCTGGCAGGCTACGGGGTGAAGCTCTATGGGAAGGTGGACATCGGAGCTGGGTTGATGAATGATCCGAAGGTCAGGGAGACAGTTTCAGCCAGTGGCTGGCACCAGGGCGTGAACCTTGGCATCGTTGCCCGCTCGGCTGACATCCGCCGGCCCACCAGGCAAGCGCCTCTTTCCCTGACTTCCGACACGCAGGACCACGTTCACCCGGAGGATTGGAGAACCGTTGACCGCTGCCAGGCGTGGATTCAGGCCTTGCCGCCCGCTGAGCAGAACACGGAGCCCTTCTTCCTGTACTGCTCATTGAATATTCCTCATCCGCCATTTCAGACGAAGCGCTCGAAGATTCCACTTCCACACTGGCCACCAGGATTCCCGCAAGGGTGGCACCCCTACGACAGCTACATGTCCATCTCCAAGCACGTGGAAGAGATGAACTACACGTCTGAGGAGATCCTAAGGGTTCGCAAGGCCTACTATGCCATGTGTGCTGAGGCGGTTTTTTTGCTGAATCGGGTCTGGGATACAGTCTTCACAACACCTTCGTGGTGTACGTCTCTGATCATGGTGAGATGAACATGGAGCACCGCCAAGTTTGGAAGAACTCGATGTATGAGGAGTCATCTCGGGTACCGTTTGCCATTGCTGGGCCGGGTGTGGCCAAGGGACGACGCGTGACCCAGCTGACCTCCTTGGTGGATGTTCTCCCCACTTTGCTGGATATGGGGCAAGAGACAGACTGGGAAAGGCATGCGGAACTCGGGGGCAAGAGTCTGCTCCTGCTTGCAGGTGCACCTTCATTGTGGCGCCCCCCACAGTTGGTTGTGACTCCTGGCGAAGACCGAGTTGTCGTTTCGCAGTACCACTCCAACATGGGCAACACAGGTTCCTTCATGGTTCGCAAGGGTCCGTGGAAATAAATTCGCTTCGGCCACACCCTGTCAACGTTTTCGCCAGAGAAGTACACGCCACTGCTCTTCAACGTCGATGAAGACCCGGGTGGGGCAGAGAATCTCGCTGGGCAGCAATTCGCAGATTCTGGGGCAACTTGACCCTGGAGCTCCGGGCTTTCTTTGACCCAGAAGACGTCGACCGACGGGTGAAGTCGGAAGACTTCCGCCTCTACCATCGCTTCTTCGGCTCTCTGGACCACAAGCGACTCCGGAACAAGCTGGAGCGAGCCTACGCCGGTTTTGAGAGGGAGATTTCAAGTGCAAGAAGAAGTGTCCCAGCAGGTAAAACAAGTGCAAGGAGGCAAGGCGGACGGACCTAACGGTGAAGATAAGTGTAAGAAGGAAGGTCCAGCGGGTGACATAAGTGCCCCATCCAGCAGATGAAATAAGTGTAAACAAATTCAAGGAGGAGGATCCTAGCAGGTGAAACAAGGAGATGTGACCAAACAGGTGAAATAATATAGAAGGAGGGTCCCAGCAGGTGAAACAAGTGCAAGAGGGAAGGTTCCAGCAGGTGAAAACAAGTGCAAGGAGGACGGACCATTTAGAGAAACCCGGAACCGAAAAATTTTCAACACTCGTGGCGCCAGGATTCGTTCAGGTAGGAAGCTTCAGAAGATCTCGTAGTTATGTGGCAAATTGCCAGATGATCCTTCCCATGGCAGCAAACCCTCAACCCTGGACCCTAGACTCTAAACCCTAAACGGCCCTAAACCCTAAACCCTTTAAACCCAAACTCCCAAACTCTGAACCCTCAACTCAGAGGCCAGCTCAGGCTGAAGCTTCGCGGCACCAGCTGGCGGCGAAGGAGTCTTGGCAGCTCTGATGTTAGGGTTTAGAAGGTTACGGCTTGGGGTTTATATGGCTTGGGGTTTAGGCTTTAGGGGGTTTATGGCTTGGGGTTTATATAGGGTTTAAGGTTTAGCGTTTACGGCTTGGGGTTTAGGGTTTCGAGGGTTTACGGCTTTGGGTTTATATAGGGTTTAGGAGGGTTTTACGGCTTAGAGCTTATAGGGTTTAGGGTTTGGGCTTAGGGTGTATACGGGTTAGAGTTTAGACTGCAGGTGCCATAACTCTACACGCACCGCTTCCTTTCGGTCTTGATTTGCGGAACCCTCGTGAAGGCAGAAAAAAGTGCGGGCGAGTGATACGAACACTCATCATCATCGCCACACCACCACCAAGTAAGAGTAAGCGTTGCTACTACTTAGCACAGACAACCTCCACCGCCGCCACAGCAGCAGCAGAGCAGAACAGCAGAACATTTCATGAAGGAAAGCAGGTCTAGGTGGGGCAGGATTGGCGGATGCTTTGGAATGCCATTTTTGCTGCATCTACGTGTTCACGGACATGGAAAGCAGGTGCATTGGATGGGTGCGGAAGCTCACAAGATACTTCGGCAAAACTTCCAACCCAAACAGCCTTCGTTCCTTTCCAGACTTTCCTCCTCTCAGGGGCTCTGGACTTCCAGCCTCCAGAACCCGTAGACCTTAAAACCTCCTCAACAGCAAGGCCACCTTCATGTAGACACCGCGCGAAGAGAGTCGAGTCTCCTGTGTTGTACATCCATCGCCAGCCCCCCAAAGCCTGAAGCTGTTTGCCGTGGGGATCTTAAGGAGGGGGTGTTTGAAAGAGGGGTTGAGAGGGTTTTGGGTTGACAGTGTTCGGGGGTCTTATTCGGGGTTTAGGGGTCAGGGTGCTTTGGGGGTCTTTTGGTGTTGCTTCTCTGTGGCTTCGTTGTGGCCTGCTTGGTGAGGCCCCCGAAGCTGAGCCTGGAGCAGGCCTTGCGGCATCCCTCTGGAAGTCGGTTGCGGGGATGGGGGCTTGGGGCCTTCTACAATGCACTATGCTATGAGATGGGAGGATATGTTGCATGAGTTCTTGTTCCTTTACAGCACAATATAAAACAGCTGCGCTTAAGCTCGAGCTAGTTTGTCAGAGACATGACAGTGACAGGAAGCACGGAGCTTGCTTGCATGGGTGGTGACATGTCAGCAGGCGCCGCCCCCAGAGGCCTTTACCACCTTGAGTCGTGTGATGCCGCAGCGTCCTCAGCCCGGCATGGCGTACCAGCTGCCCACTTGAACCAAGAAGCGCAGGCGAGTCCTCGATACAGCGAGCTGCAGCTCATGTCGTGTTCTAGCTCTTCAGTCGCAAGTGACACGTCCTCCTTCATGGAGGTGCTGCGTGGCGCGCAGGTGAGGGCTCTAAGCCAAGCCATCGGCCGGTGTAGGAGAAATTGACCTGCACTTTGCCATGGCTGGAGCCTATAAATATGACCTGCTCCTAGAACTCGACGACAGGCGGGCGTGGAGGGAGAGAGGGCGGGGGAGGGCAGGCGGAAATGTGTTTTGCCAAAGGAACTTGCATAGCCTCGCCAGCCTCGTTGCCAGCTGCAGGCCACGAAGCCTGGTAGCAACGCTGGTTTGCCCGCAGCCGCACGAGCTAATGGATGATCATCGCAAGCTGCGGCTGGATGAGCATGTACGAAAGCACTTCCTACGGGTGATGGACCTGGAGATTGACCTTGGGGACTCGAAGCAGAGTCTTAAACTGGCGACGGCACAGGAGAGCTGCCGAGAGGACGTTGAGCAAGGGCGGCTGCCAACCCTGCAACGGCAGCTGGTGGTGCCAGCAGCAGCACGGGTTTTGGGCTTCAAGTACCACGAGGTTGGGAGCTCAGAAGAAGCCGCGCCGTGCCATCTCTTCCATTTGTAGCACAGTGGAGTCCGTCGTGAGCTCTGTATGTTCACAGTGAACATCAGTGAACTACATCCTATATTGTGTTCTGATTCTAGCTGCTTTGTCTAACGGAGAGGATGCGTCTACTCAGGCCGTTGAGGCCGCAACGGGCTTCGGCCGGGTTCATGACCTGTGCGTCCTCATGGAGGACTTGTTTAGTCAAGAGGCATAGCAAGCAAGAGTCCTCAGCCTGCGGCGCCCTGATAGGAGGAGGGAAAGCTCTACCTGGAGCCTCTCTCCCGTATTTACATACGCCAACTCTCGCAACACCTCCCTGGACGCGTGCGCTGGCTGCCACCGGCTTTGGAAGCGGTAGAGAAGACAGACAAGGACTGGGTTCTTGTTGAGGGATTTGATATTAAATAAGTTAGCATAATAAGGAAACCCTATTATTTGCTATAGATTATTATGGTAACTGAAACCCTAACCCCCCCAAATCCTTCAAAATCCTATACCCTAAACCATAAACCCTATAGATCCTTATTACGGTAACCTATAACTTAAGAAGAACCCAGCCAGGAAGGCCTGGACGTCAGGAAGCTCCCGGAGGCCCCTGAGAAGCCACTCCCTGCGTTCTGCAGCACCCGGTATGCTCTGTAGAGCGTTTTCTGCCTCCTTATATGATGAATGTTTGCATGTATGCATGCATGTATGCATGTGTATATATATATATTATGTATACATACATACATACATACATACATACATACATGCATACATACATACATACATACACATACACACATATATATATATGTATA